CCAACTTGTATGGTTGTTGTTGAGATTGTGAGTTTATTTACTTATTTGCTATATTCATGTAGATGCATATATATTAGTTATGTTTTCTCACACAAAATGGTAACACATTTTCTTCCACCTTCCCCTCTATTTTTTACTTATTTTACTTTTTCTTTATTTCACTGTAATATTTGATTTTGAATGAGTGTTTTTTTCCGTTTTCAATGGTTTGTTATTATTATTTTTCAATATTTAACCATTTTTGCTTAGATAATGGAAATATTCTCCTATAACGTAAAGGAATCGGAGAAATGAAATGCGTAATTTTTTTGCAATAGATGCGTTAAGAAAAAAAATCAAAAGATAAAGAAATTGTTGCACTACAATAGCATCCACTCGATGGTAGAAACTGCTTTCCTATCTTCTTTTTTAAAAAATATTTTGCAGTGTTAATTGTTATTTTTATATTTCAGATTTATATGTTTCATATGGAACAGAAAAAAAATTGATTTTCTTGATTTCTTTATTTAAACTTGATTCTTCACGTGGTTATATTTTCTTCATCTAAACTAACAATAGAATATTTGTATTGTGTTGTCAGTTCAAATATTTTGTACATAACTATCGAGCATTAAGAAAAAATACAAACTCAATCATGTATATGTACACTTATGTGAGTCACAAACAATCAATTGAGAAGTTATTCAAAACTATTGTAACAAATAAATGAGATTCAGTGTTGTATCTTTATTATATTTGTTTATAACTCTTTTTCTACCACTCTGTTCTGATTTTATCTTTAAATTTATCTTTCCTTTATTTTTGCTATTTTATTTTTGTTCTTTTGCAAATAATAAGAGTATTTTGTTGCAAATAATAAGAATATGATATCATCATTGTGTTTGTCACTTTTATATTCAAACAAAAATCACAACAAATACAATATCTTAAATCATTGTTTCATATATAATTAAAATTGTTGTTTCATATATAGTTATATGTATTTAATGTGAGTTGTACAAATAAAACTAATTCTCATGACTGGATTATGCGGAGAAAAAAGAATAATAAAGAATTGAATAGAACAAAGGGACAAAAAGACCACACACTACGCCAAAATTGGTTTTTTGTATCGCCTACTTTAATAGCGCTTTTAAAATAAGCGCTATTAAAAAAGAAACAAACATATTTATAATAGCGCTTTATAGTAAAGCGTTATTAAAGAGTACAGAGAATATGATTTTGATAGCACTTTGTAAAAAAGCGCTATTATAGATATTCACTAAGATAGCACTTTTCTAAAAAGCGCTATTAAAATGTTGTATTACAATAGCACTTTTATAAAAGCGCTATTATTAAAAGCACTACGATAGCGCTTTTTAAAATCGCTATTAAAATATGTAACTACAATAGCGCTTTCTGTGAAACCGCTATCGTTTCTATAATTGTGTTTTAAGATAGTGCTTTTCTAAAAAGCGCTATTAAAATATTCCACTAAATTAAATTAATTAAAATATGAAAACCTTTCCTGGCCCAAATGTTTTTCGTTTTGGTGCAAAATTCTTTCACCCACGCAAAAAAGCACATCTTCAACGCTTCTTCATCGATTCACCGCTTCTTCATCGATTCACAGCCATCGATTCACAGCCATCGATTCACTTCACTGGAATAAAAAGACAAACCCTAAGACAACTCACCACCGTCATCCTTCTCCGTCGATCTCAGCCGCCGTCATTAGCTCACCACCGTCATCCTTCTCCGTCGATCTCAGCCGCCGTCATTAGCTCACGACCGTCATCCTTCTCCGTCGAAAGGAGCCGCCGTCATCAGCTCACCACCGTCACCCTTATCTTCATTGATATCCGGTAATCTTTCTTTTCTCAGATTATTGCTTTGTGTTGTAAATTGTAAAATTAGGGATTTGTAAAATTAGGGATTTGTAAAATTATGGTTGCACGCTTGATACAGAAGGAGAGAAAGAAAGGGTCATCAAATAAGAGTAAGCAAGGTAACTTACAGAAGGAGAGAAAGAAAGGGTCGTCAAATGCATCGAAGCTGCTATTCAAAGAAGAGTAAGTGAGGTAACTTATAGATTTTAATTGATTTCTGCTAGCAACTCTTCTGCATTATGTTAAAGAACTTGATTTTTTGTGTTCTAAAGTTTTCTCGGGTAATCTTTGTTCACAGGGTGTGAGCCTTGAGTTGTGTGCAAAGGATAGAGTGGGATTGCTGTCGAAAGTAACAAGGATTCTAAGAGAGAATGGCCTGACAGTTTGTAGGGCAGGTATATCAACTAAAGGGGAGGAAGCACTTAATGTCTTCTATGTGAGGGATGCATCAGGGAACTCAGTGGACATGAAAACCATAGAAGCGCTTCGTAAGGAAATAGGCAAGACAATGATGGTAGATGTTAAGAAGGTACCAACATATGACAAATGAATGTATTAAAGGCTAAACGGTTTATTATGAGAACACTGCATAAAGATAAAACAAACTTGGCCTAAATGTGATGTTTTTAGTTCTTTTCACTGATTTGAGTTTGATTATTAATATTATAGATGATGAGACTGCCAATCCCACAAATGTTGCAGATTCTCACGTGGACTGCTCTGCAGTACTTAAAGTGAGAACACTACATATTAGCTCCTCCATCCTGGCTGAGAAGAGTATGTTCTTCTACAAGGTTTGTGTCTTTTCTTTGTTACTTATATTTGAATACTTTTCGTAATTTTGTTTGTTCAGTTATGTGTATTATTTTGCAGCTCTTCACTAATGGGATGAGGGAGTCGCAGCAGACACACGTCACCCTGAGAATCACTGCATCTGGTTAGAAAAACAAAAAAACTATAATGTATTTTGTGAAGGAAAATTGCGATCTAAACGCAGCGGAAAACAAAAATTTTCCTTTAGTGATCCTCACGAATGAGCATGGTCAGTGATAGAATCGTTACCTCTTTGTGGCGATTCAGATCTTTGATGCAGCGATCACAAGCGTTGATGAAGTGCAACGCCTCTACTCAGTCCACACGAACAGCTTCCGGTCACAGTGCTAGCTGCTTACGAACGGAATTATTTGAGTGAGAAAAGAGAATCAAAACGAAATTGCATCAAGTGAAAGCTTCATCACAAGGGTTCCTTTTATAGACTCTCTTGTGGGCTGCGGGCTAAAACCCTAATTCACATGATCCATAATAATATTATATATATTATTATAATAACTATTATTATTATAATAAATATATTTATTTTATTATTATTTTATAACCATTATAAAATAACAATAATTATTATTATATTATCCGAATTTCTATTTTTCACTTAAGTGCACCGTACCTTACGGTGTTCCTTTGATTTCTCTATCTCTCATCAAACTGTCCTTATGTGTGTGACCCTGTAGGATTTCGTAACGTTGGTAATTATATTAAATTATATATATTTAACATAATAAACAGTAAGCGGTATCTAGCAACACATCACTGCTACCCAAGTCACGAAAATGTCATGTGATCTGACAAAACCTTTTTCGTGATAATATATGTTTGTACAATTACCCTTTTGCCCCTATGTCTATATTGAACACAAGGCATACACTGTGTCATCCTTGTCCAGTTCAATATTGGGCCCTTAGACATTTCTCCTGTTATGCAGGATTGGCAAATTCCATCTAGGACACTCATGTCCCTCAGCATGCTTCGTGGAGTGCCCATCAACTGTCTTTATGATCATCCAGTTACGGATAATGTTTGATCAGCAATAAAGCACCCGACTCTACATCTAGGGTCCATAGTGGTTTCAGGTCGAAGGGTGGTAATACACCATTATCACCATGAGAATAACTTATGACACTTTGCATAACATACTATGTAGTATTCTCATAGCGGGTCAATCCGGTATAAATATTACTCCTAATATTTATACCTATGTCAAGACTTGATAACTCTTTATCCATGATCCATGAGATGTGATCATCAGTCTATCTTCATAATAGTCTCAATGCTTTTAATGTTATCCCACTTTGCAATAAAGCTTGACTATGGATATTTTAAGAATAATGTCTTTATGTTTAATGGGATCTCATGATTAAGTCACACTTAACATTTCATTAAACAGACTAACTATTCTAGGGACTTTATTATTCTGAAAGACAAACATAATAAAGAAATGCCTTTTATTATTAAACGAATAATCTGATACAAGTACCAAAAAGTATTGGCCTCTAGGGCTTACACCAACATTTTGAAGTGCACCATTAACTTAATTTTGAAGCGCAACATTATTTGTAACGTGCATCATTAACTTAATTTTGAAGTGCTTTTTGTCATAGAGAATTGAATAATCTGTTATTATTTAATAATTTGTTATTATTTGATCAACTTTAAGAAGTTTCGGAAATCAATTGTATATATGTTGGTGTTTGATGGTGTCGGATAAAATGCCGTAAATAGATTCTCAAACTTTGTGCTCTTAGTGAATGGCTATCTTCATTGTATTTGATTGCTCTTGCTGTAATCTTGAGAAGATTAGGCTATAATCTTGTCTCCGCTTCCTATGTACATGTAAAATGGCTGTACAAACTCAAATGATATTGAAAAGTTATGTTTTTTTTGCTCTGTTTTTATGTATTTAGAACCTCACTGTTCTATAATATTAGGTTTTTTCCTCCACCAAACGTGACAGGAGCTCTCCATATAGGTCATGCTCTAACAACTGCAATAAAGGTATCACAGATTTCCCTTTTTCACCGTTCAGTTTTGCTGTTTAAAATAGGTAATGCCAATGTGATATATTTCTTGCAGGATACAATGATTTACTGCTCTGTTGTTGTTGTCAATAATTCGACGTGGTTCATGCTGATTTGAGAAATTATTTTTGTTACTACTCACTTGATGCCACGAAGTTGAAAAAACTTGTTTGTATTAGAACACCATACCTCCTCCGTCATTTTACACCTAGTACAAATAATCTTATCTGTGATTCAAAATATTCACTATCACCATCCATATTTAGAAGTTGTGGTAACTATGGGTGTACCAGCGCTTTACAAATGGTTAAACAAAAAATATCCAAAGGTTACTGAAGATGCTAACATCAACACTACGCCAACTGTGGAATACGATAATCTTTATCTTGATATGAACTCTATTATCCACCCATGTTTTCATCCCAACGATGATAACATCAATGTTCGTTACTCTCACTCTCTCTTTTACTACTTCTCTCTTTCTTCAACTTATTAATATATTAATGTCTTTCAGAGTTGTCCTCCAACAACATTTATGGAAGTGTTTGCAAATATGTTTGATTACATTGATCACCTTGTTACCATTGTTAAACCTCGCAAGCTTTTGTACATGGCTATCGGTGAGTCTCTCACTAACCCTACATCATACTGCTTTTTATATTTGTTTGAACAAATAATTCAACAAAGAAGGTTTTGTTTGTGTTATATTATTGATCAGATGGAGTAGCACCACGAGCCAAAATGAATCAGCAAAGGACAAGACGCTTTAGAACTGCTAAAGATGATGAAATGCGTGTAACTATTGATTCCATATATTATAAAAAAAATGGTTTCTTGAGATTATTATCATGGTTGAATGATAGAGCTTTGGTGTTTATTTTTATAGGAAGCTGAGGAAGCTATTTGAAATGGAAGGAAAACAAGTTGTTCCTAAACAAGAATGTGAAGTGTCAGATTCTAATATAATAACACCAGGAACTAAGTTCGTGCATCAACTCTCAAAGGCTCTTAAAACCTATATTTCTTCAAGGATATCCTCTCATTCATTATGGAAGGATATTATTGTAATATAATATTACTATCTTTTGCATATATAATGCAATACTAATTCACACTCTATATTCTTTGATAGTATTAATCTACATTTTTTAATGTTTTATACTTAGGTAATTTTATCTGATGCCAATGTTCCTGGAGAAGGGGAACATAAGATTATGTCATTCATAAGAAAACAACGTGGCCTTCCTGATTATGATCCGAACACTGTCCATTGCTTATATGGCTCGGTACCGAAATCAAAGTTTTTTTTCTTTTCATAGCAGGTCTATTTGTTAAGAGTGTTGAAATAGTTGAGCTAATTTTGTTGAGTTTTGAATGCAGGATGCTGATTTGATAATGCTTGGATTGTCAAGCCATTAGCCTCACTTTTCAATTATACGAGAGGTTATCAATAGACTATACATTAAATCTTCTATAGCTTAACAATACGAGAAATGCATTTCATTGCAATTTATAAAACATTAACGCGTTACACACACTAGACATAAAACTTACAAGTCGATTCTGTATAGTTTGAATACATTTTGCTGATGTGGTATGTGCGTAAGAAATTCCTATCTTGTATAGGATGTTCCTAATTCTTATGATAAGGTGGAACAAAATGCTGTTAAGAGGTTCAAGGTAAAATAATATGTGATTTAAATCTATAACTTTGAAGTTGATGAGTAGATTATAATTTTCAGTATATATACTACGTTGCAGCTTTTGCATATTTGGTTGTTGAGGGAATATCTTGAACTAGACATGAAGATACAAGATCCTCCCAAAAATTGCATTGTTGATTTTGAGCGGATAGTTGACGGTTTTATCTTTATTTGTTTCTTTGTTGGAAATGATTTTCTTCCCCAATTGCCCTCTTTGGATATTTATGAGGTTGTTATTAACTTTCTCCCGAACTTAAGAGTTGAACGAATTTGAATCTAGTTACCTATGTTTATTTGGTTTGCTCCATTTTGTTTAGGGTGCTATTGATTTACTAATGACTGTTTACAAGAAAGAGTTTCATAAACTTGGAGGGTATCTTGTTGACATAACTAAGGTAACACTAACAATGTTACATTCTGGTTTATTGTTTGTAGTATATCTCATTATTATCTCAAAGTTTTAATTATTTTATGGGACATTGATTTGAAATCAGATGGGGGAAGCATAGTGCTTTTGTGAAGCTATCAAGAGTTGAAAAATTTGTAATCATGGTTGGTACATATGAAGAAAAAATCTTCAATAGAAGAAGTGCAATTAGAGCCAAGAAACTGAGAAGACTTATTATTGATCATGAAAACTCAGTAAGTTCATGTATGCTGTTTGAAAATGGAGACATGAATTATACATTCGTAGATTCATGTGATTCTGTTGTTTTTTCTTTCAGAAGCAAGATGAACAGGATCATGTAATTTCATCGATATTGAGAATGAAAATAGTTCAGATTGCGCTCTTCGCATTAATAAGGCAGCATCATTCCGAATATTGCAGAATATGATTGTTTTCACATAGTTTTAATTTCCATAGAACTAAAGGGTTTGTTCATTGATATGTGAAGGTAAATAAAATAGAGAAAGGGATCAATCCTTCGTCTGTTCATGATATTTATTTTAGCGGCGAATACCTTGGGTAAGGTTTTAAAATCGGTGTCACGGCAGGCATGATAGCACCGACAGTAAGCAAAAATAGTACTACTAGTACTAGAAGTATCTCTCTAGATGAGTATTTCTTCTATTATTTACTATGAAATTTATAATTAAACGGTTGCGTTTTGGTTTTCAGGAAGCCATAGCTATTGGAAGAACTTTTGCATCTATGAAGGACTATCAACTCGATGGAAACAGAGAAATGGTTGCATTAGGAACAATGAACGTTGTTGGTTCGATGACTTCATGTTATGTGGCAACCGGTAAGATCATAATGAACAGATGTTAATAGTATGTTTCAACAAATATTTTAAGCAGCTGATCTATTGTTATTTTCTCAGGTTCTTTCTCCCGATCGGCGGTAAACTACATGGCTGGCTGCCAAACTGTGGTATCTAATATTGTGATGTCTGTGGTTGTTTTTCTAACGCTGCAATTCCTAACTCTACCTTTTAAGTACACTCCAAATGCAATTCTTGTAATAGATATAGCTGTATCACTAATGACTTGTATTATGCATCTGTTCTTAGCTTGACTTAATGAAAGTGATTTGCATCAATATTATATGTATGCATCAATACTGTGCATCAATATTATATGTATGCATCAATACTATGCATCAATATTATATATATATATATATATATATATATATATATATATATATATATATATATATATATATATATATATATATATATATATATATATATATATATATATATATATATATATATATATATATATATATATATATATATATATATATATATATATATATATATATATATATATATATATATATATATATATATATATATATATATATATATATATATATATATAACAATAAGTATTTTTGGTCTAGCTTTTTTTATTTCCAATTTTGTACGCTAATAATAATAATAATAATAATAATAATAATAATAATAATAATAATAATAATAATAATAATCTATAACAATATATAAAGGCAATAAGTATTTTTGGTGTAGCTTTTTTTATTTCCAATTTTGTCCCTAATAAATTGATTTTATTACATTCTTTTATTAGTTAGTAATTATTCTTCATCTTTCATAACTTCTATGCGGTTTCTAAACCAATCCATCTTCTCTCTCCATTTTATATTCTTTCCATTAGATATATTGAGAGAGAAAAAATGTTGGAGAAGCAAATTAATTGAGAGAGAAAAAATGTTGGAGAAGCAAATTAAAGATATGGAAGAAAGAAAACAAAGATGAAAATGAAAGAGAAAGATAATAATGGTAACTTCTATCTTTTCTGTAGTATTTTTCTAAATTAACTTTAATTTTTCTGTTATGTTCTTTTGGCAACTCTTATTAAGTTTTTATTTTTAATTAGTGTGAAGACAGTGAAGTAGAAAAAAGTTGTTGTTAACATAGACATAGAGATTTTTTTTTATGGAGAAGAGGTTATTTTTCCAATTTGCATACTACATTTTTTTTAATTTTAATATTCTCATTAACTTTTAAAGTTTAACTATTTTGATCGATTCCTTTACCTATTTTTAATTTTATTCATTTCATTCTATTGTTTGATTAATAGATGAATATTATTGAAAATTATTTCGTATCATCGGTAATGCATAAGAAAGAAAGAAGTCAAATTTCTTTGTGTTCTTATTATTTTTAATGTGTAATTAAGTCTTAATGATAAATTCATATTTTTGGTATAGTTTCTTTGAGTATCAACAACATAATCCCGTTTTTTTATTCACGTATCATTCCTTTTGTTTTAAGTATTCTACCCTTTTCTTTCTTTATCACATACTACCTGCATTTTTATCTTCAATATTTTCATTTTTTTCAATTTTTCTTCTTCAAAATTTAAAGATTCTTAAATATTTGAGAATACCTAATAACTTTAATTTTCTTACACATACTTTCTACATCACTATTTTTATATATTTAATAATGATTCTTAAATTTCTTTTTAGTTTTTAATGGATAAATCAAGCAAGATAGAACAATGTGCAAGACAATGGGAAGAACACAGGGGCATAATCTTTCAAAATGTAACAGATATAAATCATTCACTTATAATTATTTCTATAGGTTTGATTAGTTATTAAAAGTTATTCATTTTAATTATATTACTTTTTAGTTTTTTGTATTTTTGAACCAACTCTATGTAAAATTATTATTAAAGTTGTTAATTATTATATAAATTCTATTTATTATATCACAATTCTAATAAATTTATTAATATCTGCGAACACTCCACCGAAGTAGATACGTAATACTGAAAAATGTCTTATGTATTTGGTTTTGCAATGTTGATTGATTATCTCTCTTCTTTTCTCTCTTAAATTCTTCGTTTAAAACTAAAGAAAAAATTCATCTCTCTCATTTTTATTTTTATTTTTTTAATATTTATGTTATGTTTTTAAAGAAAATTGAAAAAACTATTAATTTCAAAAGAGGCAGAATGCTACATATATGCGGCAAAATTTGAAGGGATTTCAAATGATCTTTTTTACACAAATATACATTTTTCATGCAACTATTGAAATAAGTGTACAGAAGATACTTCTATGGAATTGTACATATATTCTAATGTATTCACATTTCTTAAATTTTTTTTATTATATATTTTTCTCTTTATACGTTGTCTATTTTACTTAGTTTTTGAAGAATAATTTATATGTTTTTTTGTCTAACAAGAACATGAAACTTTTAATCTCTCAAAATTTTGTTTATTTCACTTTATGTGAGATTAATTTATTTGTGGGTTTTATTTGTATTTATCTCCCTAACTTTTATTTATGATTTCTTTTTATTCTCATAAAAAAAATTTCTTTTTATAATATTTATTATGGTTTCTCTAAACTCTACTTAATATATTCTATAACTATTATTTATTCTATAATTATTATCTATTTTACAACTATAGATAAAGATAAAGAAGATAGATGATTTTGGACAGACCTATTTCATTCCCATTTTATCCTTTAAGTTGTACACAATTTATTTAATTTTTAAAAATAAAGTGCTAACAAAATGATACCGTTTTTTTTTTATAAGATGAGCATAACTATCAAAGTTTGTTTTTTTAATGAAAAAAAAACAATTTTAATAGTTATGCATCTCTTACAAAAATGATGGAAGTGCAAAACACACTTATACATGAATAGAAAATGGAAATTCATTCATTCAGTGGTAACATAAAAAAAAATACATCATCATACTCCACTATTTATGATTTGTGAAAGATAAATAGAGAAAAAAAATTCTTCATCTTCATCTCTTATTTGATCACCAGTCTGTAATTCCTTCTCTAATTCTTTATCATACTTCATTGTTAATTGATATGATGTTTCTTTTCTTTTACAATGTTATGATTATTTCTTTAAGAGATAATTTGCCTTTATTTTAGAATCTATTTTGTTGATTTTGCATTTGGTTGTTCGAACTAAATATCAAATTATATTGATTTGGTTAGAGAATATTATTAAAAACAATGAAACATTATTTTTAAGTGTCTTTCTTTTTAAACTCATTGGTCTTAAAGATAAGAAATATATGAATTGTTTATTTATGAATTGGTTCATCTGTATTTAATACAATACTAATAATATAATAGAAAACGAACAATAAATATTAAAGATTACACACACCTCCAAGATAATGCAGGGAATGAGAATCAAATGTTAAAACATTTCTTAAAGTATTGCTTCAATAAATGAAAGAGTTTTGTTGCAACAATCTTTGGAAGCATTTCATTGACCATATACTTAATAAAAAATTAAATTAATAAACATATATATATATATATATATATATATATATATATATATATATATATATATATATATATATATATATATATATATATATATATATATATATATATATATATATATATATATATATATATATATATATATATATATATATATATATATATATATATATATATATATATATATATATATATATATATGATAAATAATTTAAATTAAAACCAAAATCAAATAAAAAATATATTAATGAATTACTTCATTTGTTTTGCAGTGAAACGAGAGATATTTCTGATTTTTATTCCATGGTTGACCTTCCTATTAAGCAATAATGTAACTTAATATCCGTATTAATGTTTATGTTTAGTTGCTTAATAAATTGTGAAAAAGATTTTTTTTTTCTTCTATCTAAATCTTCTTATGGTTTTGACTAATCTATAGGAATATATAAATACAAAACTTAATGTTTCATCATATAAATAGTTTATATTAAAATCAATATAAATAGTTTATAGTAAAATTAAATTTATAAAAAAATACGCTGTTAATATTTTTGCGCGTTAGCGCAATAAAAAAAGCGGACAAACGGACGTGCCCGTTTGGACGCTAATAATAATAATAATAATAATAATAATAATAATAATAAAATTATTAATAATAATAATAATACTAATATTTATAATAATAATAATAATAATAATAATAATAATAATAATAATAATAATTTTTATAATAATATTAATAAAAATAATAATAATTTTTTATAATAAGAATAGTAATATTTTTTATAATAATAATAATATTTAATCTATAATCTATAATAACATATATAAAGGGAATACTTGGTTTTTGGTGTAGCTTTTTTTATACCAAATTTACCCTTATTTTAAAATATATAACTTACACAATAACTTCCATTGAACTACTCCTATCATCTTTCATATAACTCCCTACTAATAACTTTCCACATAACTTCCATATAAAATTAATATTAAATAAAAATATATCATTATATTTATATGTGTGCAATAAAAAAGCGGACAGACAGGCACGCGAGTGCCCGTCTGGACGCTAGTACTAATAATACTAATA